TGAAAATGAATATTAGTTAAAATTTAAGATAATAATTGAATATTAAAAGCATTATAGCATGAATTTTTAAAAATACATAATTGATAAAATACATAATTGAATTCTTTTGAAGAATTTTAACAAAATTTTTGAAAATATTTACATTTTTTGAAGAATTTACTTAAAATTGTATTAAAAATAATTGAAATTCTGTGAAGAATTTTATTAATTTATGAAAGTAATTGAATTCTTACAATGAATTTTTTCAAATTTTTTTTTAAAGAATCGAAATAATGTAAAGAATCTTATTATGTAATAATAATTTTATTGTAAAAATAACACAGCCACACAAAAAAAAATTCTGATCTGGGGGTCTCACTATGTAGACTTTATGTTTTTTGGGTCGCTGAATCCGAATCCGAGGTCCATTTAACCCCATCAGATCAGGATTTTGACATAACCTCAAAAAACCAATATGGCGGACACATTTTTGAAAAGTTCATCGGATTCGCTTGAAATTTGTTACTCGGGGGTTTTTGGGGTCGCTGATTACGAATTTGAAGTCTGATTTCAAAAATTCAAAATGGCGGATCCAATATGGCGGACACGTTTTTGAAAAATTCATCGGATTCGCTTGAAATTCGTTACTCTGGGGTTTTTGGGGTCGCTGATTACGAAGTTGAAGTCAGATTTCAAAAATTCAAAATGGCGGATCCAATATGTCTGTGTCAGCCATATTGGATCCGCCATTTTGAATTTTGAAAAACCGACATCAGATTCGTAATCAGCGACCCCAAAAACCCCAGAGTAACGAATTTCAAGCGAATCCGATGAATTTTTCAACAACGTGTCCGCCATATTGGATCCGCCATTTTGAATTTTTGAAATCAGACTTCAAATTCGTAATCAGCGACCCCAAAAACCCCCGAGTAACGAATTTCAAGCGAATCCGATGAACTTTTCAAAAATGTGTCCGTAATATTGGTTTTTGAGGTTATGTCAAAATCCTGATCTGATGGGGTTAAATGGACCTCGGATTCGGATTCAGCGACCCAAAAAACATAAAGTCTACAAAGTGAGACCCCCAGATCAGAACTTTTTTTTTGTGTGTGGCTGTGTAATTAAATTCCTGCAACGATTTTTATTTTACATTTTATTTCAATAATTAAATTCTTTTGAGAACTTTTATTAAAATAGTAAATTTTGAAAATTTTTGAATTTCAGCGAAGAATTTAATTATTTGTGAAATGTACTTAATTTTTGCAAACAAATTTTGAAGATAATTTCATTTTTTGAGAAATTTATTTAAATTTGTCTTAAAAATAATTGAAACCCTGTGAAGAATTTTATTATTTATGAAAATAATTGAATTTTATTATAATTTTTGTAAATAATTTAATTTTTTTTTTGGAAAAATTTTATGGAAATTAAAATTTTTATTAAACATGAAGATATCAATCACTCCAAGTGGAAGACTCGAAGTAATTAATATTTTCATGTTTTATAATAATATTCTTATAAGTTGTTTAATTTAAAAAAATTTTGAATTTGAATGTTTTGAAGAATTTTAATTCCTATGGAAAAATAATAATTTAATACTTATTTTAAAATTTAGTTATTTATGTTTGCGAATAATTTTACGATTTAAGAAATTCGTAAGTAAATGTAGTAGAATGTTTTTTTTTGAGTATCTAATAATTTTAGAGTGAATCAGAATATTCTTTATGGTCAGGGAAAAAGTTAAAACTTTGTCTGGAAATCAGGGAAAAGTCAGGGAAAAACAAAATTAATTTTTTGTGGCAACCCTGTATTATTTCTATATTTTTAGAATTAATAATACTTTAAATTCGCTAACACTAGAAATCAAAAAACTATACTAAAAAAAAATTAATTAATTATTGAAATATTTAAAACACTGTTTATAAAATTCTTATAAAGAATTCAATTATTTTTAAAAATAAAACATTTTTCTCAGGAATTCAATTTTACAGGAATTGATAAGAAAAATGTAATTATTTATAAAAATTTAATTTCAATTCCTCGAAAAATCAATTATTTAAAAAAATATTTTTTTTAAATTCTTTGGAAGAATTGAATTATTTACAAAAGTATTAGAATTTTTTACAGGAATTCCATTATTTTAAAATATTTTAATAAAATTGTTCGAAAGAAATCTATGATTTTAAATTCAATTCTCAGTAAATTGCTCTGAAATAATTCAATTATTCTTTTAGATTGTAATAAAATTCTTTTCAAGAATTCAATTATTTATGTAAACAATTTTTCTAAAGAATTCAATTATGTCGATAACTAAAAAAATTATTCCCGAAAATTCAAATATTTTGAGACATTTCAATAAAATTCTTTGTAAAATTCAATTTTGTTCATAAATCATAAAATTCATCGTAAGAATTCAATTAGTTTTAAAAGTAATAAATTTCTTCTTGGAGGTTCAATAATTTAAAAAAATTTCAATAAAATCGTTTGCAAGAATTTAATTATTGTCAAAAATTTTAATTGAATTCTTTGTAAAATTTAATTATTTTTGAAAACTTTTTGCAATTCAATGATTTTCAATATCTACTATTTTCATAAAATTTTAAAACTGAATTTAATTATTTAAACATTTTTTTGTCAAAATCGTTGTAAAAATTAAATTATTTTAATGAATAATAAAAATTTCTCATGAATGTGTAATTCATGAAATTCTCATGAATTTAATTATTTAAATTTACATTTGCATAAAATTAGTCGAAAAAATCAGTTATTAAAAATTTTTTATAAAATTCTTCGCAAAGTTTAAATTATTTTTATAAATATAAAATTAGTTGCAGGAGTTCAATTTATAAGCAGGATAAGAAAACAGTAAATATTTTTGATGAAAATTAGGAAAAAGTCAGGAAAATAAAATATAGAGTGGAATTTTTGTCAGTTTTCTGAATTTATATTATATTAAAATAAAAAAAAGAATATTGTTTTAGATAAATCATGAGAAAAAAATTTTAAAATTGACTTTTTTTCTTTATCGCCTCCGACATTGCAAAAAAACAATCTTTTTTTTATTGTCAGGAATACTTCGCCAATATCCCATGAAAACTGAAAAGTAATCATTGATCATCTCCGATCTTCTGATGTTGAGTTCCTCATCATCGGATTGCTTTTCTTTTTCAGGATCGACAGCTTCATCATCAGAAACCGTAATTATTTCGCAATCAGCATTACAGTCTTCTCCGTCATTGCTGATTCCTCTCGGCAAGGAATACGTGGATAAAGATCTAATTAAAAAAGAAATAAATTTTTAAGGTACTTTTCCTATGTGACGGTTTGAAAAAATCGATTTTTTTGCATGTTTTGAAAGTACAATATCGTAGAAATATCGTGTAAAAGTTTTAGACAGATATTTGAAAAACTAACAAAGTTACAACGCGTAGAATTAAACAGTGCACGGAAGCGAGCTACAGCTACCAAAACTTTAAACGCGTTTTTCTCAAAACCACTTTTTTCTAACTGGTGACAAGGATTACTCAAAATCTATTTAACCCATCGGTCTGCAATTTGGAGGCATTATTCTATACAAGAGTGGCTATCGTGTGAACCTCGATCATGATTTTACATAAACATTTTTCTATTTTTTTAAAACAATTACTTACGAAAAAACAAGCGATTTTAGAAATTATTTTTTTAACAGTCCGCCATTTTTGTTATTTATGAAGATAAATTGTTTATTGAGGTTCACACGATAACAGTAAGTAATGAAGTGTTTTTATCATGTATGAAAATTTTATTTATATGTTCATAAATAAATAATTAAAAAATTATAGTTTATAGTATAAAAAAGTGTGTACATACTTAGGAAAAAATTAATTTTTTTCAGAAATTATTTTTATACAGTTCTAATAATTTTAATTATATATGTTAGAAAAAATACTTACTCATCGTTGTGTAATTGTACATCCTTTAAGAATACATGCATCATATCAAAATAAGCGAAATTGGTTTCGTGTTCATAGAAGGTATGTTTAGCTTAAAAAGTTTTAATTTTTCTATGTGCGATGTTTGTATTTTATGTCTTATTTTATTATTATAATTGTTACATGTATTTATAATCTCTATATAGTAATGTGGTATCATTAGCGCTCAAATTTTGTATTTCAATTAAAGTTCATCGCGTGCGTACAGAACCCCAATTTACAGTAAGACCATGTAAGACTATAAATCGCATGTGCTTGATTTTCATTTTTTCAGTTTAACAGTGTCTCAAAGTGGAAACAATTATTCACCTGGAACCAGTAGTAGGCATTATTATTCTTATGCCGCTGAAGGTATGAGGATGGTAATATGTGACGCGCTCCCAAGAAAGGTACCTAAGAAGCAAACGAATTATAGGTTATGTTCTTGTTTGATTTTTCTTGATTAAAAGTTTATTTTTAATTATTTGAATTAGAAACAAATTTTATTTGAATTTTTTGTATATAAAGAACACTTAAAGTTCAATAATTTTAAATTAATAATTGATTCTCTTTCCGTATTTTTAATCAAAAAATTAAAAACATAACCTCAAAATTTTTTGCTTGGAAGGTACCTTTCTACGGAGCGTGACATATATTTATTATAATAAAAGTAAACATGAGAATTATCTAAAAGAAAAAGGAATGATGAGTCTTAATCGTTTTTTTTAACTAAAGAAAATATGTACACTCAAAAGAATCTTTAAAGTTCCTAAAACAACAAGTTAACATAGGTCTTCATTCTCCTAAATAATTTTTTATTTAACAACATATGTTATCAAAAAGATATAGATTAAAATAATTTAAATCTGGAGTAACAAGAAATTGTCCGCGGCTATTAAGTATTTGCCCGCTGATCAAAATAATCAAAATTTTATATTAAAAATATTATTTTTATTAAAGGTGGTTAGTAAAAAAGACTCATTTTATATATTGGAAAACCTTGAACTTTTCTCAAAATTTTTCTAAAAACTATTAAGAAATTAATATTTTTACACTACTTTTTCTTTACAGATTCAATGATCGTTCAAACATATCCTCCTTCCTTCTTTCAAAGTGGACAATTACAGTTACAACTCGACAACCGCAGCCAAGTTCAAGTATGCATTTTTGGTACCTTTCATGAGTATTTGGCTTATTGCTATCCTTGATTAATTTATTTCCAGGGTTGCTACAGTCAGGGAAAACCTTGAAAACCTGGAATTGTCAGGGATTTTTTTCTCGGCCAGGGAAAACCTGGAAATGTCAGGGAATTGTATAAAATATTTTTTTCAAAAATTAATTTGACGTATTTCCCTTCTAATTTTAAAAAACTTCATTTACTAATTTTTCAAGTTAGATTTAAATCTGTTGAAAAATTCAATTATTTTCAATACATTTGTAATAAAATTTCACGAAAGAATTAATTGTTTTTAATTTCTAAGAATATTTTTCGAAAAAATTCAATTTTTTTCTGAAATTTCAATAAATCCTTGTATACAACACAATTTTTTTCTTAATTAGTTCTAAAATTTTTTTAAAAAATGGGTAAGACTCCGTCAGAAAAAAAGCGATTTGCAAGTGGTCTTCCAATTTCTTTGAAAGCTTGGGAAATAGAAGTCTTATATGAGTTAAATTAAACCCTAAAAGGATTTTGAAAAATTTTCAAAATGGCGGCTGCTACGCCATATTGAAAATGAGTGTTGCGTTTTTTTCAAAAATTAATAACTCTGAAACTTTTTGATCGATTTTAATAAAATTTACAGGCGGTATAGTTAAAAATACGTAGTTTAATTTTACATTATGACCAAAAAAAAATTTCCAAAATTTGTCAAAAAAAAAGTCAAAAAAATTTTTTGAATTAGTTTTTAGTTCAGTTGGCCTAATTTTTGAATTTTCTAATAAGTAGATATCGATTCCTTGTAATTTCACCTTTCATTTCATAAAAAAAAATTTATGGAGACTCTAATAGTTCTCGAGATATTGCGACTTTAGTGGGAGCGCGTACCGCGGAATTAAACTACGTAGCGAGGCGGAATATGAAGCGAGCGTACAAACGTGCACAATAGGGTATCCGTAACAATGCGACTTTCGAATTTTGTTTACGCCACCCCCCAGTTTCGTTCCAATAAAATAAAAAAAAATTTCCTAAAATTTGAAGCCGATTGATTAATATTAACACGTGCCAGTGATCGATCGAAATTTTCAATTAAAAATACACAGGAAAACTGCACTTTTTAAAAAAAATTCATAAGTTTTTTAATTCTCATGCAAAAAATTCTCCAGGTCACATTTGCCTTCATTTTTAGCTGCACTATAAGATAGCACTTTGCCAAAAATTCAATTTTCAAAAAAATTTTAAATGGCGGATGTTTAAAGTGGGTCATAAAAATGCACCACAATATATCCAAGGTTTTAACACATAAGTGTTGTCAAAAATTCAAAAAAATTTCTTACTCGGGGCTATTTTCGATCGTTTATCATGAATCTGATATCAGAAATTAATTTTTCAAAATTTTCGATCCAATATGGCGGGTTTAAAATTTTGATTTTCTACATTTTTGAAGTAAATATTCTACAACAACGTCAAGGGCGATTTTTGGATGTGCTATCTACGAATCTAATGTTAAAATTTTATTTTTTAAATTATCCGATCCAATATGTCGGATTCAAAATTATGATTTTCTACATTTTTGAAGTAAATAGTCTAAATATTAATTTATAGATTAATAGTTACAAAAAATAATTATTGGGATGTTTTAGAAACTCTTTTTTAGAAATTTAACTTTTTATACCTCTGCTCTTAAAATCGATTATTAAAGGAATATTTTAAAAAAAATTTGAATCCACCTTGCCATATTAGATCGGGTAATTTAGAAAATAAAATTTTAACATTAGATTCGTAGATAGCGCTTCCAAAAATCGCCCTTGACGTTGTTTTAGAATATTTACTTCAAAAATGTAGAAAATAAAAATTTTAAACCCGCCATATTGGATCGAAAATTTTCAAGAATTAATTTCTGATATCAGATTCATGATAAACGATCGTAAATAGCTCCGAGTGAGAAATTTTTTGAATTTTTGACAACAATTATGTGTTAAAACCTTGGATATATTGTGGTGCATTTTTATGACCCACTTTAAACATCCGCCATTTAAAAATTTTTTGAAAATTGAATTTTTGGCAAAGTGCTATCTTATAGTGCAGCTAAAAATGAAGGCAAATGTGACCTGGAGAATTTTTTGCATGAGAATTAAAAAACTTATGAATTTTTTTTAAAAAGTGCAGTTTTCCTGTGTATTTTTAATTGAAAATTTCGATCGATCACTGGCACGTGTTAATATTAATCAATCGACTTCAAATTTTGGGAAACTTTTTTTTATTTTATTGGAACGAAACTGGGGGGTGGCGTAAACAAAATTCGAAAGTCGCATTGTTACGGACACCCTATTGTGCACGTTTGTACGCTCGCTTCATATTCTGCCTCGCTACGGAGTTTAATTCCGCGGTACGCGCTCCCACTAAAATCGCAATATCTCGAGAACTATTAGAGTCTCCATAAATTTTTTTTTATGAAATGAAAGGTGAAATTACAAGGAATCGATATCTACTTATTAAAAAATTCAAAAATTAGGCCAACTGAACTAAAAACTAATTCAAAAAATTTTTTTGACTTTTTTTTTGACAAATTTTGGAAATTTTTTTTTGGTCATAATATAAAATTAAACTACGTATTTTTAACTATATCGCCTGTAAATTTTATTAAAATCGATCAAAAAGTTTCAGAGTTATTAATTTTTGAAAAAAGCGCAACACTCATTTTCAATATGGCGTAGCGGCCGCCATTTTAAAAATTTTTCAAAATCCTTTTAGGGTTAAATTTAACTTATATAAGACTTCTATTTCCCAAGCTTTCAAAGAAATCGGAAGACCACTTGCAAATCGCTTTTTTTCTGACGGAGTCTTACCCAAATGCAATTATTTTCTAATATTTTAATAAATTTTTTGAAACATTTTAATTATTTCTATAAGTATATAGTAAAATTCTTCGCAAGAATTAAATTATTTTTATAAATAATAAAATTTTTCGAAGGAATTGAATTATTCTCAAATTTTTTGATAAAATTCTTTGTAAGAATTCAATGATGTTAAATACATTAATTTTAAAATTGAAAATATTTTTTGAAAAAATATTTAAAATGTTAGAAAACAAAAAAGCTAACAACAACTAACTAATTTGGTCAGGGAAATTAAAAAAAATGGTCTGGAAAATCTGAGAAAGTCAGGGAATTTTGAAATGCTGAATACGTAGCAACCCTGTTTACAGATTTATAAACATTTTTATAGTTTATATTATATAATTAATCAAATTTATCTAAACTTATTTTTATAATGATGTTTATAGTAAAAGAATTAATTACCTCTTAATATAATATATTATATAGTTTAAATAGAAATTAAAACATAACGCTTTTATTATATGTTTTTTTAAAATTAAATTTAAAAATAGCAAATAATTCTCAGTTTCAGTCGCAGTTAGTGGAAAATGTTGAGTATGTCAATTATGTGGAAGGAAATGCTTCTCAACCCGAGTCTCAGTTACAATCAAAGGAAAATGTTAATTTCATATTTTACGTGGAACCTGAAGATTTCGAACATCAACCTCAGTCAGTAGATAATGTGGATAAACAAAATTTTGAACATCAGCCTCAGTCAGAAAATAATGTGAATAATGGCCCGAACACAGAAGGAGAAGACGTTGAACGTCAAACCCTCTCAGAAAATAATGCGGATAATTATCTGCATATACAGGAAGAAGATGTTGAACTCCAAGCACAGACAGAAGATAATTTTAATAATGTTTCGAACACAGAAGAAGAAGACGTTCAGCGTGAGACGCAATTAGAAAATATTGAGGATAATCGACTGTATACACAGGAAGAGAGTGTTGAACACCAGGCACAGTCAGCTGAAAATAAGGATAATGGTCCGAACCCACAAGAAGATATGGAACGTCAAACACTAATCTCCTCTAATCCTTTCGTAAAAACGAGGTGCGTAAGATGGACTAACTTCAAGTGTAGAACTTTTTCTTGATTGGCTCTTTTTCAAAATCCTTTACTTTGATTGGATATAATCGTGACATTACTTACTGATGTCAAAGCAGCTAACTTCAAGTGTAGAACTTTTTCCTCATTGGCTGAATTTTATAATGATAGTGACCTCACACTTTTATATTTTCGTTTTTCTTTTTTAAAATTAAAAAAATAATTAATTAAAATTATTAACTAAAAATTAACTAAAAGTAGTTTATTATAATAATTTTTATTTATGGTTTGGTTTGTAATAAATTAAAAGTTTAATATTAAAATATATTTAATTTTATGATTCATTTTAGACGCTTCAAAATTGTTGCGCGCGCATCTTTTTTCCAAACAAAAATAGTTTGTTCGCTACAGCTATGTATCCTCACCTCAGTGTGAAACGCAAAGTTTTTGGTACGAAACATTACAAAATGTTACAAGTGTTAGCAATTGTCAGCCATTTGCAAAGTGTGACACGTGTATCGTTTCGATAAGAAGTATGGACTGTTATTTGCCGAGTGATTTTTCTTCTGAAAGTGTTGATTGTGAATTTTGTGGTTTTGTTTTTTGTACATTGAAAAAAAGTTAAAGTACATTACATACGATACGTACGTAAGTATTAAAATACATGTAAATACAAATTAAATTCTTTGCTAATATTATTTGTATATTAATTAGGAGGAGTTTGTAAATATAATGTGAATTATTTGATTTATTAATTTTAAGGATTTAATTAATTTAATTAAAGTTAAAGACATTAATTTAATTAAAGTTTAAAGGAATAAAGGACATTTGCCTGTTACTTTGATTTCTGAATGTAGAATATTGATTGCTTTTTTTTGATTCTGATGTTTGTACATTACATAATTATATTATAGTGGTAATAATTGTGATTTAATATTGATTTATATTTGTTTTCTTAATCTTAATTATTGATTTTTCAACATTTTGGTAGTTAGTTATTATTATTTGGAAAAAACTTTATAAATATTAAAGATAAGTACTAAAAATAACATGTGATTACGAGATACCAGATACTTGATAAACAGAGATTTAGTCAAGAGGTACTAGATTAACAGATACTAAACAGATACAAACCAGATACAAAACAGAAAAGCTTACAAAAAATACGCATATGTGACTGTCCACGAGAAAACAAGGCTTAGGTCCAAAAAATCAATTTTGATTTTTTTATGGTAATCGACAGATTTTATGTTGCTTTTTCAAATGCAAAAGTCAAAAGTTAAAAATATCAATTACTTTCGACAATATATCGTTTTAAAGATGGGTATGTTAAGCGTAGTTAACCTCAATCGTTGACTCTCCACGATAAAACACGGCTTAGGTCGAAAAAATCAATTTGAGTTTTTATGGTAATCGACAGATTTTATGTTGCTTTTTCAAATGCAAAAGTCAGAAGTTAAAAATATCAATTACTTTCGACAATATATCGTTTTAAAGATGGGTATGTCAAGCGTAGTTAACTTCAATCGTAGTACTTCAATCGCTCGCCCTGTGAAATTCACGTTTTGGAGCTAAGCCTTGTTTTCTCGTGGACAGTCAAATATATTTATTGTTGATAAAATATATAAAAATTAAAGATAAGTACTATTGATAACATGTGAATACGAGATACCAGATACTTGGTAAACAAAGATTTAGCCAAGAGCTACTAGATTAACAGATACTAGAATAAAAGATAAAAGAATAAAAAATATAAACAGATACAAAACAGAAAAACTTACCAAATATATACTTATATTTATTGTTGAGAAAGTATAAATAAATACATAACAAATTTAGATGAAAAGATGAATAGATACCTTCCTTACATTCTTGAGATAAGACGAAATTAGATTAATAGATGAAGATACATTCTTTACATTCTTAATAATCTTCAATAAGAAAGGAAAAGATAAAAATTCCAGTTACTGTTAAATGTGACAATAGTAACATTATTTACATGTGTTCTGAAGTAATTAATTTTATGAAAAACTATTTTTTAGAAGCGATATCTTTTCAATAAATTAAAAGAAATCATGTCGAACAAATAAGAAACTGTTAATTTAAGTGTTACAGATTTTAATATTATACTTACTGAAGAAGGAACGTTAAATGATACTCATATTGATGAATTCGAAAAATTATTGAGAAGAGAATCAAATTCTGCTTTTAGCATGCAAAACACAATTGTATTTATATACGTTTGAATTTATTAGTCTGATTGAAAAAGGTAAAAAGCATATTCAAATACTTTTTAGTGGACCTATCAAGAAAGGTCATTCGATTTGCACTTATTATGATGGAATGAGACATTATATTTATGATAGTCTTAATGAAGGATGTTTAAATGAAGATCAAAGGAAATATTTAAGTAGATTATATCCTTTTAAACCTCCAGTAGTTTTCACAACTGTTGATCAACAACCAAACAATAGTCTTGCTTGTGGAATATATGCAATAGCATTCGCAACATCGATATTTTTTAATATTATGCCCCACTCTGTCAATTACTATTATTATAACATGAGAAATTATTTAATGTTAATGTTCAAAAACAATCGTTTAAGTAAATTTCCATCAGTAAGGTCGACTAATATTAGAACTATGACTGTTGAATATAATTGGGAGTGTCTTCTTAGGAATCGAGCTAGAGAAAAAAGTTTCCAAAATGAAGAAAATAAAATTGTTGACAATAATTTATCATCGCTGAATTCAACCAGCAATGTTTGTAAAAAAAATTTTGTTGATAGTTTAGAAAATTTGCCTTTAATTCCAGCAAATGATGTTAATAATATTTCTATTGATTCAAGCAATGGAATATAAGATACAAGATTAATAATAACTGAGAAGCATGAAGAAAAAAGAGCTATGGTTCATTTTCCTGAAGAAGAAGAAAAATATAAAATCATAAAACGTCAAAAAAAGCTGCTTATCAAAAAAAATATCGACAAAAAAAGCGAGAAAATAATAAAATTGTTCGCTCTGAATCATTGGATTCTAATGAATTCATTAGTGCAGCGCAAACTTTAAATACGAGGCCCCAAAGCACATCTACAGCTTTATCATCAGCAGAAGAAAATATTTCTACTTCTAAAGTTAAAATGTCAATTCGTGACAGAAATGTTGCTTACAAGCGCACCTCTCGACAAAATTAACATACTTCTGTTCAAAAACAAAATCAGTCTGATATTATTTCTAAGTCACATATAGAGATAGGTTATTGTAATGAAATGAACATTACACGTGATCATTCTTATGTAAAACTTTGTGAACATAAAGTTAACAGTGAATTATTTATAAAATCAAAAACTAATGATGATTGTAATGATTCAAGAAATGTTACAAAATATACTAATTTAAAAAATGAAAATCAAGTAAAAAAAAGATCAATAATACGTTCTTTAGAGGAAGAAGAACAACATCAAGTCATGAAACATCAAAAGAAAGCTGCTTATCAAAGAAAGTTTCGACAAAAAAAACAAGAGAATAATAGAATTCTCAACCCTCAATCACTTTAAACAAAGGACAGTATTATTACGGTGTCAAAATCAAATATAAATTTAGAAAAATCCTCTACATCTGTTACTACATCTTTGGCAAAAGATAATGTAACTGTTACAGCAAATTTATCAAATACTAATATTTCCGGTCGTCAAAAAAATGTAGCTTATCGAAAAACTCATTGCCAAAAAAACGGGCTTCTGCACAGAATCAAAATTTTTCTGACAGTATTTTAGTCTCGCATATAGAAGAACATTTTGCTGGTGCGATGAACATTTCATGTGAGCATTGTAATGCTAAACATTTCCAAGCAGAAAGAGTATCTTATAAAAAAAACTCATTTCATGATTGTTGTAAACATGGCGAAGTCATTCTTGAAGATCTACCTGCTCATATTATCACTCATATTACAAAATTTATTTGATGGCACCCACGAATTATCTGGGAATCTTCTTTATAATATACGACCTTACAATAATTCATTTGGTTTTGCTTCTTTCAACGCTAACTTAGTTAATTTTAACAATAGACGACCAGGACCATATTGTTTCAAAATACATGGTCAGGTTTATTATCAAATGAATACATCTTTGTATGCAGAAAGAAACGATACTCCTTCATTTGGACAGTTATTTATTGTTGATCAAAACGAAGCTTCCGAAATTCGTTGTAAGAATAATGTTCAATTAAACCGAGATATTGTTGATGGAATTGATACAGCCCTTCGGGATTGTAACCTATTTGCACAGTCCTACCGTATGATGCATGAAGAAATTAAAAAAACAATGACTGAAAATAATGCAGAAATTGAGCCTGAGATGCAATTATTATTTTCATTAAAGCCTGGGATGGATAGTAGACGTTATAATTTACAAAGTGTCAATGAAGTTGCAGCAATTTTTACTACAACTGGGGTGCTATTCTGTAACTTCACTTCACATTCACTTCACATTCACATTGAAAGTGAAAAGTGAAGTTAATGGGGAGTGAATGTGAAGTGAATGTGAAGTGAAAGTGAAGTGAAAGTGAAGTGAATGTGAAGTGAAAGTGAAGTGAAAGTGAAGTGAATGTGAAGTGAAAGTGAAGTGAAGTGAAAGTGAAGTGAAAGTGAAGTGAAAGTGAAGTGAAAGTGAAGTGAAAGTGAAGTGAAGTGAAGTGAAAGTGAAGTGAAACTGAAGTGAAAGTGAAGTGGAAGTGAAAGTGAAGTGAAAGTGAAGTGAAAGTGAAGTGAAGTTACAGAATAGCACCCCTGCTGATGGTGATATTCCAGAATCATATGTTACCATATATAATAAGAATACAAAAAGTTTACAATATATAAGTTCTATGAATCCCAATGTTGAGCCATGGATATATCCTACCAAACTGCCTCTGACAGACCAGATATTGTATCGCGTGTTTTTACCATAAAAAAGATAAACTTATTAATACTATTGTAAAGGAACAATTATTTGGCGAAGTGATTG